AAAAAAGAATATTAAAGGAAAAAAAAATACACCTCTGCTTACCAAAAGTTTGGAGGTTTAAGGCCACCAGAGGTGCCTCAGAAGAATGCCTGGTGATCTACTCCTAAAAAATCAGCCACTGAAAACCCTACAGAGCACAGTTCTAACTTTTTTCTTTTTTTAGAAGTCACGGGAGTGAGTTCAATTCAAGACCTGAAGGGTAGTAACTAGGGGCCATAGTCTTGGGGGTCTTACCAGGCTCTATCAGACCAGTCAACCTAGCATGTTTGTTTTTTTTTTAAAATGATTTTGAGTTTTGTTCCACATTGTTCTCCCACTGTATCCAAGATTCCCTGGTAGCCAGGCACCATCTAGTTCTTCTGGCCTCATGGTCATATAGACTGAGGTTTGCATGGTCCACTAGTCCCTTGGATTATTTGTTTCCATGTGTCTTTTATTTTCTTCATTCTTCTTTGCTCTGGACAAGGATAGACCCATTGTTGCATCTAGATGGCTGCTTGCAAGCTTTTAAGACCCCAGTCACTACTCACCAAAATAGGATGTAGAACAGTGTTTTTGTGTAGTATGTTATGCCAATTGAGCTTGATGTCCCCTGTAACCATGGTCCAACCACCCGCTCCCTCAGGGTGGCTGACTGTGGCTAAAAAGATATCATAATTTTGCCCCTTGCTAGCTCTATTATATATATGGACATTCCTACAGCACATACAAACATATATGCACAAATATTGTCTGCCAATCTTATATATGGTCATGGGTATACTCCCTTTTGCCTAGATACACCTGATCATTCAGCCTGTCTACCTACATATCTACCTATAGATTAATGTTTGTTATAACTGATAACACAGTATTTTATAGGTAAAAGGGGTTGCCTTTGTTGTCTGTACCTCTTGTGTACCTCTCTGTGTTTTCCTTTTCCTTAGTGTTATTGTGTTGGTCACTCGCTTTTGGTACTTGTTTTTGAACAAATGAGGAAGAGAAACATCAGAGGCCAAAGCTTCTTACCCACATGTCCTTTTTGTCCCTCATCAGAGATCCTCAAAAGAAGCTCCAGGTGGGAACTGCTGATGTCTGGCGCCACGACCTTTACCAGCTGCTTCCACTCAGCCTCCATGACCACAAACTCTGCTCCCACATTGACTTTCAGGATGTTGAAAGCCTCTATCATCTTGTGACGTTTCAGGTAAGCCAGCTTGCGAATCTCATTCTTAAAAAACAGGATTTTGTTGTTGTTTTTTTTTTAGAGAAAGATTCAAGAAAGCCTCATTTCTTTACCCCAAACATTTCAAGGTCACTGGCAAGCCAAAGAGAAATCACTAATATATCTGCTAATAAGCAGTGTATATAATCCCTCCCCAATTATATTTATTATTGGAATATTTAGCTAACCCCTTTCTGCATAAACAGAATTCATCTTACCAAGTTCAAATGTGGGAGCACATGAAGGATAATCTGTGTGGTGAAAAAGCAGTGGGAGGCAGACAGCTATCAACTCCACTCTGCCCAGGGGAGGAGAGCTGACAGAAAGCACAGAAATCAGGTATGCTGCTGATAAGGGAAAGAGGCCAACAGGGAGAAAGACTATAGATCCACCAGTAAGTAAGTTAAGAAAGTGAGAGAAGGAAGCAGAATGTCAGGGAAGTGAAACCAGGCTAGAAGTGGTCCAGAAAGAAGTGGTCTAAGGCAGAAGAACAGTTGGGCTGCCCGGATCTTCCATCTTGCCTGACCATGGAGAATCTTTCAGAATGGGAGAGAGGCCAAACAGCCCTCCTCAGGTCACAATCAGCCCTCACACCTTCATGCTTGCCCCTAGTGCTCCCTGTAAGTCTGTTACCAATATTGTCATCACTTAATTGATTAAACAGCTGGACTGGAAATTCTTGAAGGATAAGGGCTGTATCTTAATTAGCTTTCAATCCTTAGAAACGTATGATGCCTGGCACATAAGGCATGTTTAATATGTTTGCTGACTGACCCATGTTGCAGAAGATAAATTTCTGAAGAGTGTAGCCAAAAGAAACACTTCTTTGGAGGAAGAGGCAAGGAGCATAGCAACAATTCTGTCTGGCAGTGAAATAGGAGAGGCGCACCAGAAACTCCGGGATAGTAGCTTTCTACGCAGAAGGAAAAAGTCTGAAGTAGCAGGGCCTCTAAGCGGCCTGGCCTTGAGGTCGGGAGTAGTTGAGGTTCTACAACACACAGACTCCTCAGGACCTGGAGATAGCTGCTCACTTTCAAAGGCCAGTTTGGCCAAACTGCAGACTCTTCCACACCACCCCCTCTTTGCTGTAAACCACTTATGTTTTCCCCTATTTTCTACTTGTCCCCTGATGTGAACGCCCCTAAGCAATGAACAACTGAAAGAACCAAAAAACTGAAGGATGAAAATCTTCTGGCTTGCACATTTCCTTAAGGAAAATACCCTTTGAACAATAAAAGAAACAGCCCAGGGATCTGTGTATGTGGATGCCAGCCCTCCCTGCCACTGCACCCAGCCAAGGTGCCTGCCCTCCTCTCCCTCAGTTCATACATGGTACCTTTAAGTGCTTCCTATAATTGTTGTAGACCACGGCCAGAAAGACAGACATGAAGATGTAGGTATTGATGATGATGTACGTTATAAAGTACAAAGAATACCACCAATTGAAGTCATAGGCAGGCATCCTAAAAGGAAATAAATTATGTTCCATAGTTTTCACACCCTATTTCCTAACTACATATAAGGCTGCCTTAGGCAGTATCTCATATGCACAGTCTGTGTGCACAAAGCACTGGAAAACCACCACTCCCTAACTCTCTCCTGCATTTGCTGCAATGGAGCCTCAAAGCCTTCACCAACCCTAATGCTAAACACCTCAGTTCCTAGCCTTCCCTTCTGATATTCTTAGTGCCTTATAGAGGTGCCAACATTCAAAGTAGGTGAGACCTTAGGGATCCCCCAATCCAATCTCCTCACTAGATTTCCCTGAATTGAGGCCTAGAAGGGAGCCAAGTGCCTGCAGAATTACAGAGGGAATCAGAAGTGTGGCTTAGATTTATACCCAAAGTTGCTGTACAGTAGCACAGGCTGCCTTGGTGGGAGCCAGATAATTTCCTATTCACAGTGAGACAGTAAAATTGAGGGGACACTGGTAATAATCACACCAGGACAAAAGGCATAAATCAGGACAGATGCTCACTCCACCTTCATGAAATGGGTATTCTTACAGGTGGATATGTTGGCACAGCTGGCAGGACAGGATCTGAGGGCAGGCCTGAGAATAAGCAACAATCAAGAATAAGTGGGTCTGATGATCCCACGCATAACTAAAAGATGATAAGAAAACAAAAAAACCAAACTCTCTGCTGCGGAAGCCATTCTGACTCATGGCAAACCCCATGTGTTATAGAGTAGGGTTTTCTTGGCTGTAATATTTATGAAAGCAGATTGCCAGCCCTTTCTCCTGTGGTGCTGCTGGGTGAGTTCAAATGGCCAACATTTCAGTTAACAGTTGAGTGTAAACCTTCTGTGCATCCAGGTACCTACACATAAGTAGACAACAGAAAAACTGCCCCTCCTCCGAAGCACATTAGATGAGATGTGAATTACTCTGTTAGATATCTGTCCACACTCTAAACTTGAAGAGTTACCTACTCAGTATAGCATTGTTTACTAGTGTATCCCCATGAACAAGGTAAATCCATAGTAAGGACATTAGGAACAACCATGTGAGGAGTTCCTCCTAAGTAATGCCCACAGGTCTAAAGAACTGGTATTTGAAGGGAATGGTACTGGGCAAGATGGGTGCAAGAAGACAACCACAAATCTTTACATTTCTCCCGTTTCATTTATCCAGAAAACACCATCAATGCTTAGAAGAACTGGCCACTATTTCCTTACAGAAATGGCTTTGGTGTTGAAATTGAAGACTGAAAGACAATCCTAGAGTAGAAAATAGGCTCAAAAATTTAAGAGTTTTCTTTCAAAGGATGTCTCCTGTTGCTTTCAGTTTTTAAAGAATTCAATTAAATTTAGTTGTAAACCAAGAGGGTAGGCTATCATTAGTGTGGAGTCCCTGAGTGATGCAAACAGTTAAGGTTCTCAGCTGTTGACTGAAAGGTTGGAGGTTCAAGTCCACCCAGAGGTACCGTGGAAGAAAGGCCTGGTGATCTACTTCTGAAAAATCAGCCACTGGAAATCCTCTAGAGCACAGTTCTAATCTGACACACAGGGTTGCTATGAATCAGACTTGACTCAATAGTAATTTTTTTTTTTTTTTTACAATCATTATAAACATTTTCTACTCTTCATTATTATTATTATTTTACTATGAACATGAATTAACAGAAAATCTTGATTTTCTTTCAGCCTTGCTACTGTTAAGAGACAGCTACTTTAAATAAAGTGATTCTGTTAGGGCAGTTGATGTCCATGAACAAGAAACAGGGATATAAGTACATGACATCGGGGCTGTTTGCAGTAGTCACCAGCACATAGAGCTCAAACGCTATGTCCAGGATGTTCGTAAAGTAAGGTGATCCTTCCACTGTTTTAAGACCCCTAAAGAGGAACCAAAAACACAAAGTCAAAAACCCATGCACGAACATACTATACAAAACATTGTTCCACCTACTACTTTGGCGAGTAGCGACTGGGACCTTAAAAGCTAGGAAGCTGCCATCTAGATGCAACAACGGGTC